TAAGGTGTTATAAACAGGCCCCCGATCTTAAAGTGCGAGTAGATCAACCTAGAAAGTAAATTCGAGGCAGCTCTAGTGTACCCTATAGGTTCCGTACTATCCTATAGAGTGCCCTATAACTACTAAAATTAGTATACAAATCGGGGTATTGCAAATACCCCTTATGCAACCTAATTACCTCGGATTTCTACCGTTCCGAACAGCCGTAATCGCTCGAAAACGACTAGGTCTACGCCTGTGCCTTAGTACTACTACTTCTACCGCTTAGAAGCGACAACCTCTCCTTAGATCCGTCGTTTTAGTAGTCTAATTAGTATAGGAGATAGTGTACGAGAGGATTGATCTATCCGGTGCGGTTTAGGTAGTATACCTACGTATAACCTTCTACGAGCGCGTTTCGAAGGTGTTATAGGCTTACTAATTAAAGGCTTCTAACGACGAGGTTTATAAGAGCTACCTAATAGCTATAGTAGATTAATTAAAGTGTCTTTACTAGGTAACTATATAGGTGATAAATGTAGAGCTATAGATAGTGCTGTAGCAGGTTACTCTATAGTAGAAGGTAGCTCTATAGTAGAAGGTAGCTCTGCCGTAGAAGGTAGTAGATTACGAGGTAGAAATAGCTTACTTAGTAAGGGCAAATCGTCTAGTAAGAAGGATAGCAACGGCTATTAATGCCTTAATGCCTCGTCGTTATCGTATTAATTACTTTTGCTAGCGTCCTTTAGCAAAGATAGCGGCAATCGACTAATTAGCGTTAATTGTAGAAGGTCTATATCTAAGAGGCTATTAAATAGGTTATCCTTAACCTCGTATAGTGCGTCTTCTTTACTGTCTTCGACCTAAGCAACAAAGCCGTTCTCATTAGGTAGACCGTAGACTAGCAAAGAATAGCCTTCGATAATAATGCGAGGCCTATATATATCTAGAAGGTTAGTGTTAGTTAAGGTAACTAATAGAGGCGGAGTTAGCAATGCGGCCGTATAGAAGACTAGTTGCCGCAACGGCCTATCGTTAACACCTCGCTACTTAGAAGCACGACAAGGTGTTAATTTAGCCTCTTTAGCGCTACGTTCAAACTAGTCGTTTATATAATCGTTTATTAACTTCTAGTTTATTAAGGCGTAGTTAGTTACCTACTATAGGAGGGCCTCGTATTGCTAAGCGTCGTTTAGATTAGAAGCCTACGCATCGTAGAAGCGGAAGAAGGCCTATATAACTGCTTCTTGTATAGAATAGAAGTATTCCTTAACTCGGCGCTTTTGTAATACTCCTAGAGCCTTATTAATATTAACGTAGGTCGCTTTACCTAACTAGTTATCGTCATCGATAACAAGCCTAGTATTATACTACTTAGGGTATACAAGATTGCTATTTAGACCTTAAAAGCGGCTCTTATATAACTAATAACGTCGTAGCGTAAGAATACTCGCACTAGTAATATAGAAGCGCTAGATATACTTACAAGGTAGGTAATAGCTATACTAGAAGTAGTAGAAGCATTTAGTATATACGTCGTCGTATAAAGCAGGTAGAGCTATCCGCTAAGTAGGCTTATTATTGTCTATATCCTTATAATACTATATAAGCTTATTAGCTATCTTCTTCTATACCGAAAGTAGTAGGTATTTAAAGGCCGGAGTGTTGTATTTCCGCTATATTAGTAGCTAACCGTAGGTATCGATAATACCGTTTTATCGTACGCGCTCGCGGATATAATCGTCGAGTTAGAATAGGTGCATTATAAGGCCTAGAAACAGTTAGTTGTTGTTAGTAGTTATAGTATAGAAGGGAAGAAGAATATAGTCGAAGGAGCCGTTCTAAGGAATTCTAGCTATTCTAAAAAATGCAGAAGAGGGCTTCTTTTATATAAATTCGGACAATATTGTAAATAGGGGACGAATACGCACCTCGTAAGCTCTATTTACGTATCTAACGCTTATCTCGGCGCTTTAAGTATACGTAATAGCCCTCTAGTAGACTAGTTGTTCGAACGGCTATTAAAAGGGGATCTCCGAGCCGTACCTAAGTCGCCTATCGATCGCTCTTAGAAGCTATCTACTTCTTCTTTAAATAGTCCAATTTCTCGACTGCCTTTAGTATATTATAGCTTAGTAGGTCGCTCTATACAGTCTTAATAAACTGCTAGCATTCTTCTTAGTCTCTTGCAATAAACAATATATTAGTTATAGCCTTAAAGGTAGTTAGAAAGCGCTTAGGGTGCTTCTCGAGGGTTTTAGTAAGATAGCGTTAGTAGAGGCGCTAAATAATACTACAATCTATAAGGCCTTAAATTATACCGAGTTGCTTACTCGCTAAGTCGTTAGTAATCGACTATAGCGGTATCTAAGAAGACTATTTAGTCTAGTTTAAATCGTCTTAATCTTTAGCTTTACTAGAACAGCCGTCGTTAACGTAGAAGTGCTTCCTATATCTATCGTATTCGCTAACCTTCTTAATCTAGTCGGATTAAGCTATTTCTCGAAGGGTTGAGATTGCTATCTTAATTAGGTATACCTACTCGCAGTCTAGAAGGAAGTAGGCCGCTAGAAGCTATTTAAGGTAGTTATTGCGGACGTAGACTATCGATAGAGGCTATTTTAGCTTATTCGTATAATAGGTCGAGTCTAATAGAAACAAAGACCTATAGTTGCGAAGGGCTCGAAGTTGCTAGTTAGAAGCCTAAACAAGGCCTCTATTTAGCTTTCTATTAAGTCTACGAGACTTAATTATTCGTACGAGGCCTCGTCTACCGCTAAATTTAGCGCTTAAGTAGTCGTATACCTACTAAAGTTAGGCTACAACCCCTATTTCCGCACTATCTCTTCGCTTATTACTTAATCGATAAAGGACTTCTCGATTAGCGTTACTAACGCGGTCTCGAGTAATTGCTACGGCGCTAGCGTCGTAATATACTTGCTTCTGTTTAGGCCGTCTTATTTCTTCTACTAACTAAGCGACTAACGTTAAGCCTAGAAATAGGTTAATATAAGGTCTATAAGGTGCTAAGAATCTACTTACTAGCTCGAAAATCGAGTATCTCTTTCTATATAGCCTTTATACTATTATTAACTACTAGACTATCGACAAACTCGAGACTATACGAATAGCACTTATTTAGCGGCAAAAGCATTACGTAAGCCGGTCTTACGACCGTTAAACTATTAGGTAGACTGCGTAGTACGTAGTTATCGAGAAACTCGCTAAATTCGGCTCTTAGTCGCTTCTCGTAGACCTCGATAATAGTTAACTTCGCGCGATAGTCGAAACAAGGCTTCGTATACGCTATACGCTTCCGCTAAGGCCTCTTACGTATCTAAGCAGTTATAACGACTTCTAGAGCCATTTCCGCGCGCTAATAGTCTATATAGCGCTTATAGATGCGATACTTAAAGCTAAGTCGTCGATATAGTCGCCTATTACTATTATTTAATAGGTAGTTCGGCCGGTTCTTATAGTACTATACGTTCGATACGAAATGGCGGTATTCGTCGTATTCGAAGCCTTCTATTCGAATGCCCTTATTACTACTAGTAGGGTAGAAGAATAGGCGCCTTCGATTATATAGATTTAGTAGAAACGGGCTCTTAAACTATAACAATACGCTTAGTACGAGATTATTACGGTTTACGAGATATACGTACCGGCCGCTTAACTTCTAGCTTACTAAGCAACAACTCTATATCCTTAGGCGATAGGTGTTTAGCGTACGAAGGCTTATATATAATAAAGAGCGTAGAATTAGCGATAGTAAGGTTAAAACAAAGGCGGTACGTAATACGAGGAAGAGGTAGAATAGGTCGATAAATAAATAGGTAGAAATAGTCTCTAGATAAGGTCTAGTTTAGCTTTATTGTAAGCAGGCCTATACTATACTATTATAAGGCTTCAAATTAGCTCGAAATTGGACCTCTTAGCGGTCTATATGTAGCCTATTAATAACTATAGAAGTGGACAAGCGCCGTAGCAAACCTAGCCGCCGTGGCGGCGCGATCTGTACCCTTGTTTAGGTTGATATACTTATATCTCCGATCTTGACAGCCTACAGGGGAGGCTGGTAAGCCCCGCAATCGACCTAGGATTGCCCTTGCTCCAGTACGAGTATCACGCAATATCTTCCCATGCATAAAGACAGCACTCTACAGCGTCTGAACACTTCGGAGTGAAAGTGGGTATTCACCAGATCCCTGTTTCTCAAGGATTACAGCGAATAGAAACTTGTTATTCAGCGGGCCGCGCCTAGTTACTTTCACTCCGAAGTGTAAAGACGCTGTATATGGTTGCTAAAAGCGCTTCGTCCCTGAAGGCACACGCCGTTGCGAGTGATTGTTCACAAGCAATTCGACAGCGTTCTGTCATCAGACCATCGAAATGGAGCGTCAGTGTCACTTTCTCCTCGCTTGGACCACGCTCTGAGCGATCCCTTTGTGGTTGCAATTTTCATGCCCAATTCAGGAGTTTGGTGGCTTTGGGGCATTTTGCTTGCACAGCAACGCGCCTCGAGCAGAAACTGGTCTGTCTGTTCACAGCCTTCCCGCAGATGTCGCAAGCCTCAAAACCTGGAACTGGTCCCGAAAAGAACCTTTTGATGTTAACATCGTCGACATAGGTGAGCTCACCTCCATTAGCAGCGACATGCGGGACACCCGGAAACATCACAGTCTGCACGGGCAGTACTATTTGCATTCATATACGTTTCGCCCACGGCTCTAAAAGCCAGAGAGTCTCACCTACCGGGTTTATCTTCATAGGCAAGTGCGCATACTTGTCTTGGTTTATGTCATTGGCCTATTACCATCTTCGCCAGCATGGCCATCACCCTCGCATTGCTTGCGCTCGCTAGCAGCAGCCTTGCAGTGCCCACAGAAGGACATCAATGCCGAGAGGTGACCTTCCTCGTCTCCGCTTCAGCACAAAATCGCAATATATCGAATGTCGACTTCAGCAATCTCGATGCCCTCACTGCTGCTTTACAAGCCGATAGCTTCGAACGTTTCGAAGTATCCGGGAAGCAGCAGATAGCAGGCTGGTACTGCGAGCCAACGCTTAGATCACTGAGCGTTGACAAGCTGCAAATACTGTTGGGAGCTATCACAACGAACCGGGAGGTGTGGACAGGACAAGGAGGGACGGCGTTGCACGCTCCGGAGCTGAGAGCTTACAAGCCCGAGACCTATTCGTGGACAAGATATGCAAATGAGCGAGGATATGCAACATTGACACTAGATCATTTGGGCAACGGCAAGAGTTCCCATCCCGATCCGATGAATGTGGTGCAGTCACCATATGAGTATCATTCTACATACCCGCCGGCCTTGAACGTTTCAGCTAATTCTTTACCCAGAGTGGCTCTGTATCATGCGCTCGTGGAACAAATTAAATGTGGTCCCCTTAGCGGTAGCAGTCCCCTCCCACGGACCTTCCACCACTTGGCTTTTGTGGGACTGTCTTACGGCTCCGTGATTGGCAACCTCATTGCTCAAGGATACCCAGATGACTTCGAAGACCTTATACTGACCGGATTTTCAAAGTCAGTGCTGCCGTCACTGCCAGGTGTGGCAGCACAAGGAGCGAAGCCCGCGAAAGAGGTGGATCCAGAGCGCTCCGGGAATCTTCCAGCAGGATACCTGATGTCTCCGGTCGAACAGACGAGGACGAATTCCTTTTTTGGCGATCCGAAAGAAGTCGATTTTGAACCCGAAAATGCGCACCTATTCTTTACCCGCAAAGATGTCGTATCTGCGGGCCAGTTCGTCAGCACGTACATTGATATCGTGGAGGCACCCATGTATAGAGGGCGGGTTCTGATATTGACAGGAGAGCAAGATCAAGCATTCTGTGGCCCGGGCAGCTCTGCCATCAATCCTCAGCCTAGTTGTGGCGGTCTGCTTGCCGAGACAGGTTCGCTGTTTCCGAATGCTCAATATAGCTGGAAGAGCGTACCAAGATCTGGACACGCACTGATCTTGCATAAGTCGGCGCGAGAGACTTTGCAAGTGGCTCATGACTTCTTGGCGGGCAAGAAATTCGGGTACTAAGTCACGAAATTTTCGACTGCGAGCGGATTCCTGAATTGCATCAGAAGTGCATGACACAAGGCGGCCAAATAGTCATGGACTGTGTAGCCAGGGTCCTGACAGTAGATAATTCGCTGCAGTCTCAATTCAGCTTGGACGACATTTCCAAAGCTCTTTGGTATGGTATTACGCTTGACTTCCAACAGATGCGCGAGTCTTGCTCAGGTATCGTAGCCACACCTCCAGCTCAGTGGGGCCCAACGATGGTGCTGATATGATCGAAGCGAGCGAGAATCCATGCGAGCTGGGCAACGGCTGAGGCGAATCCAGAAGGGGACTCTGCTTTACAGTCGACTGGTATTGAAGACGTCAAACATAGGTCAATATCCGAGTGTGACGCCAATCGCGAGACGTGATCTCACTGCAGTGACGAAAATACCACAATGACCGCATTCGGTGATATGAGCCTACCTCCGACCTACCACTCGGTCTTTAGCGTTCCTCGGTGGCTGATGACAGTTTCGTGCATGCATAACCTGCTCTCTTGGAAATCAGAACGATCAAGTGAGATTGTATAAGAAGGCGGCAGCCCATCGACCGTCGCTCTGCAGCACACACCACGATCCTTGGACATAACAATGGCAGCGAGCAGATTGATTGTCTTGGTCACCGGCGGTGAGGGCACCATCTTGATGTTCTCTATCGTGTATACTAACATTCTCCAGCAAATGGTGGCATTGGGCTGGAGACCGCCCGCCAGTTGGCAGCGCAGTCCAAACACGTTCTTCTAGGCAGTCGGTCCCTCGAAAACGGCGAGCAGGCGGTCAAGACACTTCAAGCCGAGAACCACCCTGGACCTATCGAACTCCTGCACATCGACGTCTCCAAGAAAGATTCGATTGTCGCAGCTGCCAAACACGTGAATGACTCCCATGGACGGCTAGATGCCCTTGTCAACAATGCCGCAGTCGCCTCTTTCCCAGAAGGCACCCCAATCGAAGAACAGATGCGGCAGTCTTTCGAGACGAACTGTATTGGTCCGCTCCTGGTTGTCGACGAGTTCGCTCCTCTTCTCAAGAAGTCGATCACAACTCCTCGAATCGTCAACGTCTCTAGCGGAGCTGGCTCCATAACCAGAAGGCTCGATGGGAGCCCCAGTGTGGCGAACTTCAAATCTGTGGCATATCGCTCTACCAAAGCTGCCTTGAACATGATAACTGCAGAGCAGGTTATCGAATTTGGAGAGTTGGGATGGAAGATATTTGCATATTGTCCAGGATTTACGATCTCAAATCTCAGTTCGCTGAATACGACCGCAAGTGGTGCGAAGCCCACTTCCGAAGGTGCGAGCCCTCTCGTGGATATCATAAACGGCAAGAGAGATGCAGAGCATGGAAAATTTCTCAACGAGAAAGGTGATCAGTACCCATGGTAAAGAGAGGTTTCTCGTCCGGCCTTCCTATGGTATCCAGAGATTCGCATCGGATGGCCAGAGTCTGCACTCTGTTCATCATCAGTGAAAGAGATCACAGGAAAGGCACCCAGATTAGTAGTCTCATGAACGCTTTCTAGGTCCGTGAGATCCTCCTCAATCTCACTGTTCATCAATTCAAGCTTCCAATCAGGACGACTGTCGGCCGATAGATTTTGTCGACTGTACTGAACGTCTGCCGATTCGTGAGCAATCTTGTTCGTCAACAGGTGACAGAAATGAGCGCACCTTCTGGCACATCGGACAGAAATCCATAGCCCAACACTCAAGCCCAGCATCCGTGCCTGCGACACGTGTCAATGACGAGTGGCAATTTCTGATTGATCATGCTCAAAACGCGTGCAGGTTGGCTTTTCCAAGTCAATTCAAAGAACGTTGATGGGAGATGAATGCTAAAGGATGCGCCAAGCGCGGACATGCTCTGCTGACCACGGGAAAAGGGATGAATATCGATGTAATGCTGAGCAGCTGAGGCTAGAAGGGATCAATCCCGACCTCGTCAAGCCATGGTCTTCATGTCGTCTTAATTCGGCGGAAGTCCCGCACAAGCTTCCTCGTTTCCTTCACAGCATTGCTGTTCTTTCGTTGGTGGATATATCATGATGAACACTTTGTCCTTGCACCATTCCGGTACATCCTTCTGCTGCTCCGGAGTCTCGTCTCGCTTCTCTGGCAGTCCTTCACACGCCTCTGCGAGTCCTTCGCAGCAGCGCTGTGCTGGTGTTGGAGGCCAGATGGCAGGGAACGCCGCGCCTGCACACCACGATGGGACCTGTGCTTCATCTGTGGTCTGAAGAGGAAGAAATGTGTTAGCAAGTGACAAAAAAGGAAGCTAAGAACGGGGACGACTTGGCCTCACTTTGCTTGCGGGCAGCGCGTTGACCGAGGTAGAGCATAAGGCCAGAGCAGTTGCGCCTGCAATACCACGCATGATCGGATTCTGAGCAGTTCGAGTTGCTACAGAGTAATTGCTCTTGGAGAATGGTGAAGAGTCAGAAATGCGTTTGGTAGTCGACGAGGAGTGTCCTGTCCCCGTAGGCTACCTTCCGCTGCCATCTTTATGTGTTCCTGAATCCGCAGTCCTGCCAAGTTCAGAGGCTCGACGCGAAACGTGTTTGATGGCCAGCTGAGCTGGGTGGCACATGTTCCAGGAATAAGTACAAGTGCATTCCAAGCACATGTATGGCCACTGGCCATGCCCATGTAGCGTCCGTACTCCGGCTCTGCGCTCTGAAGGATGAAGACCAAGAGTCTTGACGTTGCACGAACGCGATGTGCAACCATGCCCAATCTCAGCTCACCACCCACTGTATGTCAATACGAGTCGCTAGAGTGAGAAGGGAACATGGTTCAGTGCGATGGTCAGACCATTGGTTCTGATCCTGGGAACTCGTGATGATCCCTGGTGAAGCATGAGGCACCGATTGTTCCGGCAGGACCGAACTTCAGCGCGACACATGAATAATGAATGCTATGCTACGCCACGCCACGCCACGCCACGCCGCGGTACGCCCTCGCCCTCGTTCTCACCGCGACCTGGAGAAGGAGGGTATGACTAGTTGGCAGTTGCGATGCATCGCAGCGGCAGTGGCAATTTTAGCAACGGGAAAGCACCGTACATACATATGTACACACATTCAAAATCACTATACCACCCTTGCGTTGCGCCTACTCATGCAAAGCACCGAATGCTCTGGCGGAATCCTACATTCCTCGAACGCCGCACCAGGCACGTGAGACGTGCACACCACTCGCATCTGTCTGACTTTGCGAGAAGCAAAGTGACAGTCAGCTGGGAGGAAGTCTACGTTCATGACTGTGAGGGAGGGCGATTAAACGGAAGTGTAGCCAGTGATTGATTGTTGATATTTCAGCTCATACGTAGAATCTTGAAGTTGATTCTGGGATAGTGTAGTCGCAAAGAGCCCTTGCCTTGCGGCACCTGCACTTCAATAACGACCTCGTTTTTCGATATACCAACCAAAGTTCCTTCGTCTTTGTGAGTGAAGCCAAAGTCCACAGGAGCGATGGTAACCCGCTGGCCCCTTTGCAGCCCCAGCACGTCTGATTCATCGAAATATGGTTCTTGCTCTGTGAAATCCGCGGCGAGAATACGGTCCACAACCTGATCCTCAGCATCTGCTCCCTCTTGAAGTCTGCCACCGCCAGCATGGTCTTCCCCGGCCTGTTCAGCCAAATCTCGGAATCGTTTGACCCAATCATGCAATTTCGGAAATTCAACGTCGCTCAAGGCTCGCTTCATATCAGCCGTAGCCCCATTGGAACCATCGCCCATGTCTTGCGCCATGTTGAGGCCCCAGTCAAATACCCAGCCAGCATGGATCTCCGCTAGACCAGGATTGTCGCCACCTAGAATCCACTGCCGTCCATCCCTCAACATTTTCTCGACGATATCATAGTAGATTCGAAGCTGGCTAATAGACCAAGATCGATTTTCGAGAAGCGCTTGTTTTGTGAAGGCACCGCCGGATCCGTCAGAGCGATCCTTCGTCCAGACTTCACTTGTCATCAAAGGCGCAGTCGGCGGAATGCAGCCAGCAGTTCGCCAGAATGGACCTCCATCAATGATCAAGTTCTCGAGCAAGTCTTCAACACCTGATCCAAAGTCATCATCGGCGCCAAGTCGATTCTCAGGAAAGAATGTCTCCAGCTTGGCTAACATCAGTCTGGTGTCGATGTAAATGTCTCGACCGATGGCCATGATTGGTATACGTCTATAATTGACTCCAAGGCGCTCTTGCAAGATTGGCCTTGGCATGTATGGTGGTACTCGTATTTGCGAGAAAGGCAATCGACGTAGATTCAGATACCGGACCATTCTCCTCCCAAATACAGACTCAGGATAAGTGAACAGTATGATGTCCCCAGGATGTCCATTGAGTAGACCTTTTTTGTAGCTCATATTGTTTCGTCTGTCGTTTGTAAGTGCCGAATAGCTGTTGGCCAGGTGGTGTCAAGATGCTGTGGTTTTACTGCTGGGAGAATACGGTTGATTTACAGTGATCTCAGAACCGACTTATCTTGGTCTGGCGGAGGTGGTGCGGAGAGCTTGGTGCGCAATTGCCTCATGTGGAGCTTGCCGAGGCTACGAAGTTACGAGTCGAAGGCAGTGAGTCTTGTGGTTGCGCGCCAAATGTTGATGTGATTCGCTGGGTCGGCAATTATTTGCAGCGTACATTGGCTCGGAGAGCGTCCTTATAGGGATCTGAAGCCCCTGTTGCGTTGTTTTGTTTATTACTAAAGTCAGGAGAGCATTGGCCATATCTTGTAGGAAGCCCAAATGGAAGCATCAAGCCGACGTTGGGGTTTGTTCCCCAAAAGGGTGGCTCTCTATTTCCGTCCGGTGTCTCTGCAAGAATGATCGAATACCGTGCATGCTTCGCCTAGGCAACCGCTTTGCAATCTCCTGAAACGACATGCCTGAATTTCGCCAATCCAGGACTCTGCTGATCTCATCTGCAGTCCATCGCTTCAAACTTCTGATTTCATAGGCTCTGGTCAATTCACTTCTCCACCTCCAAAGTGCACGATACACTTGATCCGTTGATTTCACAAGCTCAAGGGCAATCCAGTCTGGTTTCGCTCCGGTATTCCACAAGGCAATAAGTCTCTCGCGCTCTGACTTGGTCCAGCGAGTACGCATCTTGCGTTGAATTTTTTGCTCGGGTGTTACACCTTCTTTGGATAAGCGACGGACGAAATGTCTTACAAGTATCAGGGACAGCTTTGTCTTATGCACGATTTGCATGACGTCTTTTCCTTTGGCAGCTAATCTGCGCACTTCCCTTGGGATCTCCCTCTTCGCGAACTCTTCGTGAATGATCTTGCTGACCGTGCTCGGAGCGAAGCCTTTCGTAAGAGAGATTTCATTTGCAGATTGTCCGGCCTGCTTCAATTGCAATATCTGTTCTCGATCTTGCGGGGTGACTTTGTGAGATGTCCTCGGCGTAGGTGTCTGATATCTCCATACATGCCTTTGGATGGCATGTATACTTTGCCTGTTTTCGCGAGCCATCTGCTGCGCTGTCTTGCCCCGAAGTAGGCCTACTTTGACAATAGCATCAATCTTTGGGTGAGTAGCAATTTTGGCTGAGAGTTCATAATCCGATGGGACCAGGTATCGGTGGAAGTGGCTGTAGAGTGACGACCGATTCAAATCAAGATCATGCGCGATCGATGTGAGGGACTTGCCCTCCTTGAATCGTGATATTATGAGCTTGTCGTTCGGCTTCAGGACATAGCTCGGTCTCCCCGGCACTTCAGATTCATCTTTGAGCAGCCGATTAATCGCGTCTTCGCTACAGCGCACCTCATCTGCAACGGCTTGGCGTGTGTTGCCAAGATCTTTCTGCTGTAAAATATGTTTGCGGTCTTGCTCGATGAAAGATGTTCCCCGTCTGGCGCCCACGGTGGTAGGGAAGCGAACTGGTGGCCTGGCAGGGGGCAACAAGACACGTTGCCGTGGCAAAGGCTTGAGAGGGCGGGCGCGAGGCATTCGGATTACTGACCGGCCTGCAGCGCCGATAAGGAGTGTACGTCAGGAAAGGAAACTTAATCAAACTCGTGCCCAACCGCCCATCTCAGAACGTAGCGCTCCGTGGAAATACAATGCAAAGCTTGCTTTGCCAGGGAGGTTTTGCAAATTTTGCTGACTCAGCTATGCCAAGACAAAACAGGGTGCAGCCAACTCTAATAGTGGCTAAAGGTTGTACCGACCTCTAAGTTCTTCGCCTAATAGGCTATTTTCAATACTTAATCCGTCCCTCGTAGAGTCTATAAGGCTTCGATAGGTCTAGATAAGAGCTTTATATAGCTTAAAAGAAAAGAGTTCTTTTATAGGATAGATTCGTATCTAGGATTATAGCTACTCTATTTCTCGCTCTATGTAATATAGGTTGTATTAGTAGGTAGATAGGGTAGTAGTAGATATAGTAGTATTCGATAAGAATCTAAGAAAAGAGGGAGGAAGATAGGCAAGTTAGCCTAACGCTAAGCGCTAAGCCCTACCTAAGGTATCGAGACCCTAGCTTTACTTAGCCTAGTTATATACTAATTACGTATAGCCTCCGAGTCTTTAGCCCTAATATACGCTTCCCTTCTAAAGGCCGCGCCTTTATAGCCTTTCTATATTCTAATCTCGATCTCTATTACTACTAACTTAGCGAATCTAATAAGCTACTTAGTCTACGCTAAATTAAACACTTAACTATCTAATTATATAACTATATTAAACCTTACCTTCTAATAGTAATATAATATTCTAACTACGCTATCCTTATATCTAATAAGGTAATATATACCTATAAGAATTAAGGGCTATTCGCTAATTATAATACGAGCGCGTCTTCCCTACTATAATAGGTAGACGTACTATACGAGGTATTATAGTACTGCCTCCGTTCTAAGTAATATTATCTAAGTTCTTTACGTCTACTCTAAAAGACCTAGTAATGTTCGTTTCGAGGGCTAATTACTATTGTTTCTAAGGGCTATTTCTATCTATTGTTTGTAGTTTCGCTAGCCCTAATTAGTTAGGTTTAGTAGCCTTTAATTGTTAATATTCTAAAACACAGTTCGTCTAGTTTCTATAAGTAACGGCTATTATAAGCGTAGTAGCTAAGGTTCGCCTTACTTAAAGGGTTAGAAAGGTCGAGGAGTAACCTATTGTCCGCAAGATCGACCCTAGCTAGCTTAGCTCTATATTTTTGCCCTTAGTTAGTCTATTAACTAATTAGTCCCTAGGCGGCTCTCTCTCTTTTTAACTAAACTCCCGATATAGTCGTTCTTTTAACTCAGTTAGTATAGTAGGCTTTAGTCTTAGGCCTATAGTATAGGTAAGGTTGTTCTAATAGGTATAGTAATAATAGTAAGTGATATTAACAATAGCGGCGCTAGCCGTCTTAGCGCAAACTTTACCTTGCTTCTAGTTTTCTTCTCTAACTAATAACAATATTATTAATATACCTGTATCGGCTTCTAACGTATCGCTAGCTCGTAGCGCAACGCTATTATTATTATTATCGTCGTTATTTGCGCGCGCGCGCCGCCCTAACCGCCTAGGCCTTAAGGCCTCGATAGAATAAAGGAATAGGAGCGGAACCTAAATACTAAGAGAAGGGCCTTACTAAGTTAGTAAAGAGGTAGAGTCCCCGAAAGAGTAGGCGATTAGTTAATAGTTATAGCGCGTTTATTAATACTCGGTGCGCGTTTACTATTATAGTATAGTCTCGTTTTTGCTAACAATTGCCCGCTTCTAATTAGTTAGCTAATAGCACCCTAGGGGTGTTATTAATCCTAGGTCTCTCTAGCGATATTATAGGCTCTTAGCCTTCTTCTTGTTCTTTATACTAGTCTAATACTTATCTAATAACTTAGTTATATCCTTAAAGGAGTCCTTAGCTTCCTACGAGTCCTATTTAGGTAAATAGCCTTGCTACCTAAGTAGGTACTCCTTCTTGCCTTATCTAGTCCGGTACTTTAGTATACGCTCGACCGACTATAGCTCTTTACTATTAGCTAAGACTTCTTCTAACTTAGTAGGCGCTTTATCGCCTTCGCGCTAGTAGTATAGCTTAAGGAGGGATATATAGAAGGTATTATAGATAGTATAATAAGGAGGAAGCTACAACTAGTAAGCCTATATACCCCTAGCCTCTCGGATACGAAATAGGCTAATATATCTTAGTACGAGCTTAGGCCTTGTTTTTCTATTAGGTAATAGGTGTTTACGGATACGGAGGTTCTTTATACTAAGTATAACTATATCGCCTTGCTTAAAGGTTATTAGTATATAGCGCTTATCGTAGTAGGTCTTCTAGTATTCTTAAGCCTTTGTTAGCTTCTTAGCTATCTTAGAGTAGATTTCTCGTATCTTCTAAACGCGTTCTATTGCCGCTAGTGTCTCTAGTACTTAACGCGCTTCCCTTTCCTTACGCTCGGCCTCGAGCGAGGTAAATAGTTGTTATAGCAAAGCCGCGTTTTAGCCTATTATAGCTATATAGGGTGAAACCCTAGTTAATAAGTGTATACTATTGTTATATACGAACTCTATAGGTTGTAGGAGGTTAACCTAATCTTTAGGGTTCTTATTAATATAGCTGCGTAGGTACTACTATAGCGTAGTTTTCTACCTCTCTGTTTAACCGTTAGTCTATAGATAGAAGGCTATTAATAGCCGATGCTTTAGTCTTAGCTATAGGCATATCTCGCTCTAATAGTGCGATATTAGTATCGATCCGCGATTAGACACTATCCCCTTAGGGGTTCCCTAATAGGTAGAGAAGATATTATTCTATAGCGCTTCTGCTATATTAATAGCAGTCTAATCTTTCCGTACTAGGATATATCGAGCGCCTTTAGTAAATCGGTCTACTATAATAAGGATAGCATTATATATATCCTTACTACCCCTACGCTTAGTAGGAGGAAGGCCTATAATAAAGTCTATTATAAGCTCTACGAATAGCTTCTTTAGAACAGGAAGTAAAGACAGCTCGCTAAATACTAAGTGCTTTAGTGCTTTAATACGCTAGCATACTATATAGGTCTGTATATATTCTTTTATATACTGTTTACTATTTAGCTAGTAGTATATACGCGATAGTAGCTCGTACGACCTCTCTATACTATAGTAACTAGCAAGCTTACTATTATAGTGCCGCTTTAAAAGCTCTTATCTAATCGATTGTTTAGCGGGGATATAGTATCTGCCCTTAAACTTTAAGCAACCTTTATTATCGAAGTGCGAGTAGATTAACCTAGAAAGTAAATTCGAGGTAGCTTAAGCACACCCTATAGGTTCCGTACTACCCTGCAGAGTGCCCTATAACTACTAAAATTAGTGTACAAATCGGGGTATTACAAACACCCCTTGTACAACCTAATTACCTCGGATTTCCACCG